GCCTAGCTATTTCAGAAACTTATTAGAACAATTAATTTATTCACACCATTATTTTTTAGAATTAATTACTTCATTATATGTTTGTAGGCATGTGAGCAGGCCAGAGATGGCTGTTTGCCGCTCATACAGCAGTTCGGATTCCAATGACCGGAGCCGTTAAACTGTGATTCTCTTCCGGAAGATGGAGGAGAAGAGTTCTGCACGAAACCTATAATAATTTAATAATCAAAACTACTTCATAATAGACCCATCCGTCGGAGCGATATAGACACGCCTCTTGGATATCGTTTCTAGGTCGCTCAAGCTAGAGTATAGCGATTGTAGAATGCAACACTACGAACTAGAGCTGCTTGTAAATCATTCCAACCGAAAAGGTTTATTAAGCTGCACACGTATGTCTGGATGGTGTGTGAGTAGATAAATAAATCCCCCGTTTGTTTGTGAACATTCGGCTTCATCGCGTTCTTTGTGAGGATAATTGCATGTATGTTTGTATCAGTCGGAAACAGGCAACAAGCAAACTTCCTAAATTCTGTCACTTGTATTAGCAAAGAAGGTAGACGCATGTAGTGTACTGTGAATTTAAAATGCCAGTTTTATTAATCATCTCGCTGCGTCTACTTGTGTACACATGACAGTAATTAGTCTGCTTAAAATGTTTAATTCTTTGTCGCACAATTTTGTGCAAGATACCTATAGCAACAAGTCCATGAGCAGAAATGTGATAAAGTCGCGATTTACAATCAATCACACTTCCTTTTTACACTAAAGCGCCACTATTTTCGATTCTACACGAGTGTTGTTCTCCATCAGCTAGCAATCTGCAAATGGTAACTCGCCGTTGATCGGCGCTTGTGTCGCGCGTGGGATATTACGACATTTTAACATGAAGGGCATAGCGACTGTCCCTTCTTTGATGCCATATTATTTGTAGCAGAATATTTTACAATTTGTAGTAGAACGTTATATTATTTTTACTATGTAACTTTGTGTACCAAAATGTCATACTATTTCTAACGGAATGTTATCGCAATGGTCTCTGTAACGTTTATGAACGGTTCAACATATATAATTGCATGTGCTAATTCGTTAATTTATGCGCGTTTATTCTTTTATTGCAATCATAATCTGCCGCACATGCGTTTTTTCATCTCTGGTCTAACGTCGCACTACGATATTTACTCGTTCTTTACTCACATATCTTAGTAACTGGCTTCTTATATATAGATCTCAATGAACACGACACACGACTGCTTAACGGACGATTACATTACTATGTTGTTAGCTAACAGAGATGTGCTTAGCTTAAATGATCACTGATTATAGTTAGTTACAGTCATGGTTATTAATTGTTACAGTCAACGTTTTTCCGTCAATGTTTTACATCAATGACAATGTCAACGTCACCAATGTTTTACGTTAATGTTTTTTTATTGTTTGGTTAGGTAAACAATTGATATTAGCGTTAGGGTTAGGGTAATGGCTAAGGTTAGGGTTAATGTTATGTTAGGGGTTAGGGTTAAGGGTTAGAGCTAGTGCCTAGTGGTTAGGGTTTAAGATTATTGTTAGGATTAGGGTTTGGGTTAGGGTTATGGTGAAGGTTAGGGTTACGTTTAGGGTTAGGGTTAGGGTTAAGCTAGGGTTAGGGTTAGCTTTAGCGTTAGGGTCAGGGTTATGGTTAGGATTGGGGTTAGGGTTATGGTTATGGTTAGGGTTAGGGTTAGGGTTGGGGTTAGGGTTAGGGTTATACATAGACTCACGGGCGCTAATAGGGTAGGATTAGTGTTCGTGCTATGGTTAGGGTGAAGTGTAGAATTAGTTTAAGGATTTGGTTCACTCGCACAATCTCTTCACGGATTATGTCTGCAGCAGCTAGTTCCAGCTGAGCTGGCGTCTATTCATTCTCAGCCGAGTTTTCTATTTGTTTTGCGACGAGTCGTACAAATTATTCCGGGCAAACACACATGTAACTCTGTATAGTTTAGCCCTCAAGTGCGACTGACCTACGCACTCTGTATCTGTATTTGCACTGCTTATGTGCTGACTGTAACGGTGCAGTGGTAAGGGCACGATGGCCACTCACATTGCCAACACCTCTGCCTTACCCCGTCGTGTGATTTCAAGGTTCATATCAGGGTTGATATTAAGGTTCGGCGTGTCTACCACCGGCGGTCACCATGTTTACTTCTTAGGGGGGATGGTTCGTTGGAATGATCTGGTATAGGCCTATTCGAGTTGTGTTTGTGCGTATGGGTTGTGTGATGTGGCATCGTGCTCTCCCCCTAGGTAGAGGGACTCACCTCCTGATTGCTGTTCTATGAGTAGCCCGCAGGGCAAAAACCTATACAATTCAGCAATACCGAGTTGGGAAAATAGAACATATGTCCTAATCTCCCAAACCCCCACCTCCCAGCCAGTTGGTCGTGCGACTTTTACGTTTACACTGCCAAACTTGTAACAGCGAACTGGTACAATTCGCCAATTTGACTGCATGAAGCCGGTAGCGTAAACGCAGCCAATATAAAAATCAGAAGGCCAAAAATATCAGCGGTTTTATCTCACTTGTACAGCGTACTTTACCTTCCTATTGTTTTTCCTCACTGCACCTGCTTTCACTGACGCTGGGGGTGACTCTGTATGGTAACTGCAAGTTCCTACATGAACAACAACAGTATCTGCAGTAAACAATCTTGTTTTATCTTGTACGTTTACTCTAAATAATGATATACTGCGTGCGACTGTGCTGAAATTTTACTTGGTGCTATCCCGGTACACACCAGGACCTATGGGCACAGGGTAAGTTCACCTGACCAACAGAAATAGCTGAAGTGAAGAAGCCGATGGGATTTATTGACGCTGATAGGGTCTATGTCTCCCTGGGTATAGGCCCTACTGCCGGACCGTACCCCGCCTACTCCCACCCGTACCCTGTAGGAGGGGAACAACACTCCCGCAGTCCCTGTGGAGTAGGCGGTGTACGGTCCGGTATACCAGACAGTTACCAGGGTACGTTCCGGTATACCGGACCAGCAGTACGGTCAGTACCCAGGGAGACATAGACCCTATACGTGTTACGGTGTACTCTGCGTATAAAAATGCCACGTGCAGCAGTAATCTGGTATTCTGGTTCTTGTCACCTGCTGCCACCTCGTGAGAAACTGGAGCACTATATTCATTCAGCTTGAACAAGTCCGCTGATTGGTGTTTTGATTGTTGCTAAAATATTTATTAATTGGACTGCTAATGAAATAAACTTACTGTTATTATTATCATGCAATTCGACGAACCTATTTGTTTTTGTGTTCGATGAATCTGTTTGCAAGAGGTTTTAGTTAGAGATTGTCATCTAGAATGTCATACTATTTGTGCCAAAATATTATCATATTTGATTGGGTATTGTTTCTGCAATTTAATCACAGGTGCATTTAACTCAATTACATTCGCACGTTGTGCTACTTATTTCTGCATGTTTATTTTGTTATTCTTATCGTAATCTGTTCACTACGGTTCTCGTTTCTCACATATTTAATATATATTCAATATATTACACACACACCCGTATATTTATATATATATATATATATATATATATATATAGAGAGAGAGAGAGAGAGAGAGAGCGATGATGATGATGTTGTTGATGATGTTGTTGATGATGATGTTGATGATGATGATGATGATGAGGAGGAGGAAGAGGAGGAGGAAGAGGAGGAGGAGCTGAGCTAGTATGTTTAGGTCCGATGTTTCTATGATGGTAGTACTTCTCTATGGAAGGATGTTATAGACATACCAGAGATTAGCTCCAGGAAATGGTCGAAGACACTCGCACACAGTCCCGCCAGACTGTTATTCCTCTCCTATGTCGGTTCTACGCGCCATGTAGTCCTCGCGGTGTCTCTTCGTTCCCCCCTCGCACCGCTTCGGCGTGTTCTGACGTAATCTACAATCTCACAGAGCTACTGTTTACAGAAATACGACCATACATACGCCCATACGACCATACATACGTACATACGACCATACATACGCCCATGTCTGTTTCCCGCACTACAGCGGTGCGGATACAGCCTCATGTTACTGCACACGAGATGAATCAGTGCGGCGTGCGCGCGTACGTACCTACGCCAATGCGACCTATACACACATCGGTGGATTGGGGGGGGGAGGCAGTTCCGCAGGTAATTAGATACCACCGAGTGTAGCGCTAGGTTTACCAAACTCGTGAATGAAGCAGTAGTTATAATTATATATATATATATATATTAATTTATATATTCAATTATTTATTAATGTGTGTATGCGCGCGCGCGCGTGTGTATATACAGCGCACAGTAACAATATATGTACTATATATAGTTCTCTTGTTGTTGTTATCTTGAGGCGATCCATTCCAAACGTATCCGATTAAAAAATCTATAATTTTACAGAAACTCCAAACGTTACATGTACGCATTATTCACCGTCTCCATGTAATTCACCCGTGCCATTTATTCCATTCAAACAATAGATAAAGCCACACGAACACGTATATTGCGCGTTATGTAGTATATTGCGTATTATGTAGTTCTCGCTTTCGCTTGATTGAAAAATTCATGGCGGTTAATCTTGTACGTCGCATAGCGAGTGTCTCAGGTATGACGTCATATCAATGTCACGATCCCAGGATTTTGATATTAGTGCGCAAATAATTATTAAAAAAGAGTAATGGAGAGAATATCGAAGTATATTGTTGAAATTACGCATTGTCTGTAGGCAGAACATGCCTAGCATTAGAGGAAGTCGCGGGAAGCCTGCATTGGCCCCTTGTAATTATTCAAATGTGCGGATCATTAATTACTAATGAGTTGTGAATGCGTGGATGCGTGATATGCGTGCTTCTTTACTAATAAGTTAGTAAATATATTTGTGTATATATGTAATAGGCCTATATATGCAATGTCATATATTGTGATACAATTATCTTTGCTGCGAAATGTTAGTAAAGGGCGAAACACGAGCTGTACATTGAACAACGGCCTTTATTTAGGAGCATACGTTCTTGAACTAATAATATGAAGGTGTGATTCCCCATAATATCCCTCTTCAAAATAAATAGTCATCAAGGAACACTCGTTCCTATTGCCAAATAGATATCAATCATCAACGCACAAACGACGGTCGTAACTCTAATAGACATTGCACAGCTTGACTTGAGCTCGAAAGCCGAGTTCCAACGGCCATCACAGAATATATACAGTGTGCTGTATCCTCTGCAGTTACTCGTTTCAACTACTTCTCGCAACTCGCAACCCTTTGCATCGACGACGATGCTATAGAGTTGAGGTTTTCTATACGAATTGATCAGGTGCCGCGCCGCGCGATGTACGCAAGTGTTTATAGACTAGTATTGCTTCGCGGAACTCGGCTCCCGTTCTGAACAACCTCATTCGTTCCGCGATTCGTGCAGGGCATCCCTCTATATACAAGCCTGCGCCACGCGGAAACCATAGAAATAATAATACTATTAGTATAATTATTATTTTATATAATTTTTTTTATCTTTCCCTAAAACACATCAAAACAGTCCGACAGCCCTGGTAGATGCAAGCGTAGAGCGCCGATTAGGCTTGCCGGCACCGGACCAGTTGGATCGGGCCGCATACTTACGAGTAAAGGCCACGATCAACACAACAAAAGCCCTGGTTACTGCTGAATTCCTCCAACGCTTGAAACGGGTCATCATCCCACAGAAGATGATGCTAGAGGCGAGACAAGCACTACGATAAGCATGTAAAGTATGATATCTGCCTACGTGAGCGTAAGCTGTACACCAAAAAAAACAACATGTAAAGCAAGGCATGCAGCTATACGGAGAATATTCGCAGAATCATAGAAACCCACGGTCACCCGCGCGCACAAGGCAACACTGAATGTTTGCTGAAGCCCTCAAGTTGATGTTAAGTTATTTATCTCTATTACAGCATCCACTCAGCATTGTCTCGTGCATATTACCAGAATGACCGAATGCCCGTTGGTAGTCAGAAACAGCACAAGTGATTATGACACCGTAAAGCAAAAAATGTCTTTTTAAAATGCTTAAAACTCTTGCAGTGAATTGACGCGCAAAAGTTGTGACATTTTAGACTTAAGATAGCCAGAACTATTTCTGACGTTTCTGACCACGGACCACAGTGTACTACTAACCGCTATAAACAGCCTGTACATTGAATCAGCAAAACAAGTAGCGAAGAAAACACAGAAGGAGCTTCCACTGCCACGGCTCGCAAACCACAATGGCTGCTGATGCCCTCAACTACATGATGTCGATTACGTTGTTCAGCAGACAGAGGGGAAAGCAAGTCTCGTGCCAGTGCGCTCACACTCCCACAAAATAAATACGACAACCTGTACAATCAAATCTAATAACCGTCTGGCTTTAATCAGGGGAACGACTCAACCACTCGATAGAATTCTGACAAACGGCAAGGCGTGTTACAGACTCATATTGTCTAGCATCGCGTCCACGCAACGCGTGCGCGACAACTCAGAGATTTACACCACAAATAACGTTAATAACATAAAATAGATTTTATATTGCTCTAAACGTTTCGCGCCGAGCGTTCGTTTGTTGGTGACTACTCGTGACGGTAGAAGCAAGATGTCTCTCCATGTCACGTCACACACACGAAGATGTCACAACAATGGGATGCACATTGTTAGCTACTCGTTTCGTGCTTTTCTTATCTGTGACGTCTTCATACTTTACCCTGAAATTGAAGACAATCACCAAAATGAGCATTTTACCGCTATTTCGTACGTGAGATGTAATGGTTTCTTTAATATATTATCATCATTCGTTGCTTACAATTATTTAGCGCGGGCTGTTATAGCAAGTATGCGATAAGCATATCTTCCACAATAAACGCCACGTTATGTAAGGATGAATCATTCTTACCATCCACACATTTACATTCGTATAATATTATATATATATATATATATATATATATATATATATATATATACAGATAGATAGAGAGAGAGAGATCGATAGATGTTATATATAGAGATGTATATGCTAACGCTTCAAGTACAGTGCCGCGCATAAACTATAGCTACATATAAGCTGAAGCTATACACGTAATGGTAATGCTAATGCTTCACGTACAGTCGCCGTTGACGGCGTTCGACGTCGCGCCGTACCGCCTCGTCGATTTCGAGCTCGACCTCGTCGTCACGGTGCCGTCGGCGCCGACGGTCCGCGTGCTAGTAGACGTGCTGCTGCTGTCGTTGATCACGTGACTCAGCGGCAGCTTGGTGGTGAAGCGGCGACGAGTCATCTTCGGCGCCGTTTCCCTTACTGCAAAGTAGAAGGACGCGCTAGTTGGTAATATATGTAACTATAATGTATATATATATATATATGTATATATATATATATATATATATATATATATATATATATATATATTAATTTATATATTCAATTATTTATTAATGTGTGTATGCGCGCGCGCGTGTGTGTATATACAGCGCACAGTAACAATATATGTACTATATATAGTTCTCTTGTTGTTGTTATCTTGAGGCGATCCATTCCAAACGTATCCGATAATTATTAAAAAAGAGTAATGGAGAGAATATCGAAGTATATTGTTGAAATTACGCATT